CTAATTCAAGCTAGACCATTGTGCGGTCTCACCGCCCTTCTCCCGGTCCTTCATCCCTGCTGGGGCAATTAGATGATGTCTGTCCAACGTGTTGCCACTGAGAGTGAGAGGGGTAATGGAAGCGGAAGCGGGTGAAGAGATAGGATGGAATCCCAATCAGACCAACATGCAGTCTCACCGCTCTACCCCTGTCCGTCATGTGATAAAAGTTGAGTTCTGAGACGTCTCAAAACTCTACTTTTATCATGTACCAGCATGCAGTCTCCCCGCTCTACCCGTCCTTCATGCCCGCCTAGCGCGCGATTAAAAGTTGACTCACCAACATGATCCAACATGGTTTTCATCACCCCGCAGGCAGACTCATGATCCAAGCTCAACAGTCACCTGATACGCCTCATCTGCCTGCAAGTCACCAGTCACCACCTGAGGGATAGACTCACGTGAGCAGCCCAGACTGTAATTCAGCCCGAGCTGGCCAAAGACAGCAGTCATGCGAGCAGTGATGGCTGTATTCCTAGCACTTTTCACTCGCACCAGCCAGTCCCTTGTGTTCCTTCCCACCAGCCAAGTCACCAGTCAGCACCTGATGGATAGACTCACGTGAGTCCGCCGAGGCTGTATTTAAGGTGACTTTTGAGTCGACTCAAAAGTCGCCGAGGCTGTATTTAAGCCCGAGCTCGTCAAACACGGACGTCATGCGCGCATAGATGGTCGGCTTTTGCAACATGTCACCATTCAGCACCTCGTGCTCTCATCAGCCACCTGACCTGCCACCTCACCTGCCACCTCACCTGCCACCTCACCTGCCACCTCACCAGGCACCAGCTTGCAGACTCACGTGAGTCCGCCCAGGCTGTATTTGAGCCCGAGGTCCACAAACACGGATGTCATGCGCGCAGATATGGCCGGCATTCGCCGAAGAGAGAGCGGTAGAGGTCGAGCCTGCTCACGCCTCACCAGGCGCCACACCAGCTACGTCACCTGCCACCAGCTACCAGCTACCAGCTACCAGCTACCAGCTAAGAGACTCACGTCAATCCGCCCAGGCTGTACTTGAGCCCGAGCTCGTCAAACACGGCTGTCATGCGGGCGGATATGGCCGGCATTCGGTCGCCGAAGAGAGAGCGGTAGAGGTCGAGCTTGCTCACACCTTCCTTGGACGCCTTGGGGTTGAGCTGAAACGCATGCCACCGGACCTGTGATATGCACGCACAGAGAAACACACACACAGACACACAGAATGAGGAACATACATGGTATACACACAGATGTAACGCTGTAACGCGTAACACGGTAACGGAGAAGCAGAGGTCGATATTGTTCAAGTGTTCTCTGGACGCCGCGGGGTTGAGCTGAAACGTATGGCACCGGACCTGTGACCTGACCGATGGGACACACGTGTGCTACAGGGACACGTGAGTCAGCAGGCGCAAAAATTATACCCGTCCCGCCAAGCTTAAAATCATAATCTCTCTTCTTCCGAGGCTTCTGTACTCGTTAGAATGCTACCCAACGCACCTCAACGTCCGCCACGTCAGCGAATTCAGCGATGGCCTTATCCAGGTTTCGCTTGCCGACGAAGCACCACGGACAAACGGTGTCGGACACGACGTCCACTGCCACACGCGCGCGACGACCGGCTGTCGCCATGACTAGGTGGCAAGGCGACGTCGTGCGACGGTTCCTGGTTTGCACGGACAAATGCTACCAACAGATGAAATTGGCTATTTTATGTTATAATTTTTGCAACAGCTAAAGCGAGGACAAATATACTAAGAACTGGTCCGTCGCTAGTTTCCTCCCGGCTTTCCTAGAGACTAGCTGAGACCCCTGTCTCCAACTTGAATGATAGTTGCAGGGGAGTGTGACATTCCCAAGGGAAACGGACTCGGTATAACAGCGTCGGGTTTCGAAATTAAAGCTTTCGTATACATTTGAAAAAGGGAGGTTCAAAAGTTTTGAAATTTGAAATATTGGTAACCCAGAAACAGCTAGTTTCACTCGCTTCACAAGGGAGGTGATCTCCCCGTCACCCAGGGCTCACTGGTGATTCAAAACTTTTGGAATAACAAAAGTATACGAAATCCAGTCCATGTGAGATCTACGCCACTACGCTCAACAGGCAGCATAAATCGTAGCAAAGCACATCGCGACAACAGCCAGCGCAAATCACTCCCGTTTCCGACACAAACTTAGACGCGTGGGGCAGTTTAGTGTAATTACACGTCCGAGCCAACGTCAGTTCCGCCCTCTAACACGGCGAGCCCGCCGGACCCCTTCTCACAGCCTCGCCTCGTCGTCCGTCGCGTTGCCTCACCACGCGGCCTCCTCACGCCACCATGAACGCGCACGCTGCGTCTCAAACTGCCGAACACGCACGATCACAGTCGCTTCCCGATCGCGCGACCTCGCTACCACGTTTCCGCAGTAGCGGCGGCAGCCGCAATTGAGGTGTCGCGAGGGTAATCAGAAACGATTGCTCCCCATTACCTCTTCCCGCCTCCCCGTTTCCCCTTCCCGCCTCCCCAATTCCCCTTCCCGACACCCCATTTCCTCTTCCCGCTCCCCATTACCCCTTCGCGCCTCCTCGTTTCCCCTTCCCGCTCCCCATTACCCCTTCCTGCCTCTGCAATTCCCCTTCCCGCCACCCCATTTCCTCTTCTCGCTCCCCATTATCCCTTCCCGCCTCCTCGTTTCCCCTTCCCGCTCCCCATTACCCTTTCCCGCCTCCCCAATTCCCCTTCCCGCTCCCCATTACCCCTTCCCGCCTCCCCAATTCCCCTTCCCGCTCCCCATTACCCCTTCTCGCCTCCCCAATTCCCCTTTGAGGGGGAGCAGTGGGGGAAGTGAGAAGGAGCAGGAGGGGAAATGAGGGGGAGCAGTGGGGGAAGTGAGAGGGAGAAGGGGGGGAAATGAGGGCGAGAAGGGGGGGGGGGTTGAGGGAGAAAAGGGGGGGAATGAGGGGGAAGAATGGGGGGAATGAGGAGGAGAAGGCTGGGAAATGAGGGGAAGAATGGGGGGAATGAGGGGGAGAAGGGTTAGAACTGAGAGGGAGAAGGGGGGAAAATGAGGGAGAGAAGGGGGGAAAATGAGGGAGAGAAGGGGGGAAAAATAGGGGGAGAAGGGGGGGAAATGAGGGGGAGAAGGGAGGCAAGTGGAGAGGGAGTAGGGGGGGTTGTGAGGGGGAGAAGGGGGGAGGGGGGGTAATTAGAAGAGGATGTGCTTAGCGGGAGAGGCGCTATGCGGGCGCTAAGCGGGAAAGGCGCGCAGCGGGTGCGGCGCTAAGCGGGAGAGGGTGAGGCGACAAGCGGGAAAGGCGCACAGGGGGTGAGGCGCGAAATGAGAGAGGCGCGCAGCGAGTGATTCGTTGCGCGGGAGAGGCGCGCAGCGGTTGCGGAGCTAAGCGGGAGAGGCGCGCAGCGGGTCAGGCGCTAAGCGGGAAAGGCTCCGTAATTTTCAATCGGCTTACTCGATCGCACCTACCCAGCGTGGTGATGCAACCCGTCGAGGCGCCCTTGACAGGGCTTCGACGGGGCCCATCAATGCAGCACGACGCGCTCGACGAATGCAGAGCCTTTCCCTCTCCGATTGCCGCTGAACGGCGCAGCAGTGGAAAGGAGCTGGCGTGCAAGCTAGATGTATTTTCCCACTCGCACAAGCCTATAATGTTACCTAAACTCATCTCACATGAGAATATCTGAGCGGTGTCGATGCTCCGCATGTTCTTTGTCGCGCCCCGGTTCCTCTATCTATGCTTAGCGTATGTTAGTCACATATCATGGTTCCTAGTGAAATCTGACTCCAAGGTTGGGTGACGGGGGAGTTTCCTGTGTTTGGAACTCCTCAAAGCTGCAATTTTTCGCCAAACCTCTCGCCACGCTCAGTTGTTTCGTTCTGGCGAATTTTTCCCTGGCTACAGTGCAAGTCCAAACAGTACTTGCAAATGTATACGAAAGCTTTAACAGTTACAGTTCAGATTGCAGGGGTTTGGATGTTGATTCGAGCCTGATATTGATTCACCCACTATTTCAAGGATGTGAATACCTGTAGTGCCTCCTAAATACGGTAAGACTTGTCTAAAAAAAAAACAACTCAATTTCGTATTAAACATGCTGCCACGCTGTTACACAATCTCCTTTTGATCACGCTCTGGAGACAAGGATGTGCTAGCAACTGGAGCAACTCCTGACCCAGCCGCTTCGTTTCTTATGCAACCACTTCCGCTGATTATGTGAGGGGCCCAGCGCTTCAGTAGCTTCATAAAGAGCTGATACAGGCCCATGCCGACAGCCAGAGCTGACACCCATGCAATCACCGGCACCTGCACACGTGGAAAAACAAGGAATGCCGGAACGATGCAAGCTTAGTGGGGAACAAAGGGAGGCTTGACAAGATGTATCATTTGCAGAGGATAAAATAAAAAGGGAGGGGGAGGGAGGTGGGGAAACCATAGATGAGAGAGGGGTAGAGAGGAGAGGGAGAGGCAGTGACCAAAGAGGGTTGAGCTTTGAGTTGGGGGGTGGAGAATGGGGCTGACTCACATTCCCAGTGGATAGGCTGACAAACGCCGGAGCTGGGCAATATCCTGCTAGACCCCAACCTGGGAGAAAGGTAGTTGCAGAGAGGAGATACAGCAGAAGTGGAGACTCAGTGCGAATGGAGTGGCTAATGAGCTAAGTGCCGCCACAGGCAGTACAACTAAAACACACACACACACACACACACACACACACACACACACACACACACACACACACACACACACACACATACACACGCACACGCACACGCGCACACGCACACGCACACACACACACACACACACACACACACACACACACACACAAACAAACCAACAAGTGTGAGAAGATCTATCTCTCAAGCTCACTCACCGATGCCAAAGATTGCCGACCCAACCACGAGCTCCCAGGTGATGTCATTCCAGGAAGGGATGAAGAACTTGGTGTCAAAGAGCGGGTTGGGGTGACTTTTTAGTCGACTCAAACCTTGCAAGTGAACATGCTGTGGCACTCACCGATGCCAAAGATTGCCGACCCAACCACCAGCTCCCAGGTGATGTCATTCCGCGAGGGCACGTAGAACTTGGTGTCAAAGAGCGGGTTGGGGCGGGCGAGGATGAAGCGGAAGGTGACGACGTTGACAACCACGGCGCCGCCCATCACAAAAGCGAGACTGGGGTCCCACCCGTGCACTGGGTCCAAAAAGTCCTTTACCTTGTAGGGGTTGCACCTGTATGGAGTATGAGGGGGGATGGGGAGAGTCAGAGTCGTTACAAAGGCCAGACTGGGGTCCCACCCGTGCACTGGGTCTAGAAAGTCCTTTACCTTGTAGGGGTTGCACCTGTACGGAGAATGAGGGGGGATGGGGAGAGTCAGAGTCGTTACAAAGGCCAGACTGGGGTCCCACCCGTGCACTGGGTCCAAAAAGTCCTTTACCTTGTAGGGGTTGCACCTGTATGGGGAATGGGATGAACGCTGGTGGGATAGGTAGCGAGGGATGATGGGGTGGAAGGGAATCAGGCCCATCACAAAAGCGAGACTGGGGTCCCACCCGTGCACTGGGTCGAAAAAGTCCTTTACCTTGTAGGGGTTGCACCTGTATGGGGGATGAAGACAGCATGATGGTGAAACCTGGGGACTGGCTGTGCATTGGGAAGAGGTGTGAGGTTACAGGTAGATGGTATGGGTGCAAACATGTACAGGAAGGCATCTATTAAGAACGGAGAACGATGCAAGGGGGTGGATGAGTGGGAGGCAAACGGGGAAAGAGAGCGCGGTGAAGGGGGAGGAGCACACTTGCTGATAAGAGCATGTCCAATGCCATTGGACAGTTGAGTCCAATGCCACTTGCGCACATTTGGGTCAGTGTACTCAAATGCCTTGCGAGTCGACTTTGAATGACATTTGAATTGAGTCTATTCAAAAGATGAATGGAAGGGGAGCCTCACATGCCACTGAGAGCGAGACCGATGCCGAAAATGGCTCCCGTTACAAGTGACGCTCGGAGCACGTTGACGGGATGGAGCAGCGCGGAACAGCAGGAGGCGGAGGGCGCAGAGGGGGAGAGGGAGCACGCCTGGGGGAACAGAGAGATAAGGAGGCACAGGAGCAACAGAGCAACGGAGCAAGGGGGAGTTCAGCGGGAGGGCAGAGATGTGGGGGACAGAGAGATGCGAAGGCACGGGATAAAGCGGGGTGAGGAGAGTGGATTTTGCAGCGTACATGCACAGAGATCCATGCACGGCATATCAGATTTCTAAGGAACACCCTGATCACACAGTCGTCTCATTTGAGTTGGCCCAAAAGTCCACACACACACACACACACACACACACACACACACACACACACACACACACACACACACACACACACACACACACACACACGCACAGGCAAACACACACACAATCAGCCCCGCATGGCACAGCAGCCCACTACAGACCGCACAAACCATACAAAAATTATTTTGCTCAGAAACAATACCCACTCACTCACTCCATCCCAGTCCCCGCTCCGCCTAGCTCAACCGCATAGAACCGTTCCTCACCCCACTAGAGCAGGCCGGTTTAGCAAGCGATGCCGACTCCCCAGCAGCCCCACCAGCAGCACCACCATTAGCACCACTAGCAGCTCCGCCATCAAGAAACTCGTTACAGTACGGGCATCTGTACGCGATAATAGCTCCCACGGCTGTAGCACAAACCGCCAGCACGAGCAGCCACGTGTTGGTGGCTGGGATGGGCTCGCCGGGGGGGCGGTTCGCGGCTGTAGCGCCGGTGGCGATAGCCCCGAGGGTCATGGATGTAGCGGCGCCTGTAGCCATGAAGGTGGCCACTCCAACGGCGCTGCGCAGTGAGAAGCGCGGCAAGCCGCACACGCCATGGCCGGACGTGCACCCGCTGCCCAACTGATTGAGGTTGGGGAGAGAGGGGTAAGAGGAGGGGGGGAAAGGGGAGGGAGAGGAGGGAGGTGGGCAGCTGCGCGGGGAGAAGCGCAGCAAGCCGCACACGCCGTGGCCGGACGTGCACCCGCTGCCTAACTGATTGAGGTGAGAGGTAGTGGTGAGGAGGGAGGGGTGGGGAAAGGTTTGGCTTCTGGGGAAGAAAGGGGATGGAGAGGAGGAGGTCCGGGAGGTCCGGGAGGTCCGGAAAGTCCGGAAAGTCCGGGAGGTCCGGGAGGGAGGTCCGGGAGGTCCAATCGTAGCACGAGCGGCAGGGAAACCCATTGGAGGGGTGATTAAGTCGACTCGGCGGCATGTGTGCTAAGGAAAGCCCATGGGGGGGAGCTGTACCTGGAATCTTAAAGGGAGCTGTACCTGCGATCCGAAGCCGCAAAGTAGCCCCGCGGCGATGGGCAGAATGAGCGCGAGGCCCGGATCGTCGCCCACGGACGGGGGATTGGACCCGAACGCGTGCCCGCTGTTGATGAGCATCGTGAACGATCCGACGGCTGTCATCGACGCGAGGAACACTGCGCGCCAAGCCCAATCCGGCACACCGGTGATGACGCCTGCGGTAGCACAGAGAGCGGCGGTTGGGCGAGATGCAAGATGGTGGTACACTTAAACATCGTGGTTCAAAGGGGTACATTAGTTAGCAAAATGGTTCGGAACATGATGCTAGTCTCGATGGGAGAGAGTCAAGAGTTATACGCAGGACGGCACGAGGCGCTTACCGTTGACGACTCCCCCGACGCGGCCATGGTACGGCCGGTGGTGAGGAAATGCGGGGACTCGTTCACGCTGCCTTATGAGACGACTCAATTGTGGTCAGAGTAACGTACCATGAACGACGCCCCACGCGCCCATGATGCGGCCCGTGGTCAGGAGGTGCAGCGACGCGACGCTTGACTCTGAGGAAATGCGGGGACCGGGACAATGCGTTTTAAGTTGATGCAAAGGGGTCGTATGAGGAAATTAACTCACCGTTGACGACGCCCGACGCGCCCATGATGCGGCCCGTGGTGAGGAGGTGCAGCGACGCGGCGATGCCGATGATCACGCCGCCCACCAGCGACTGCCACGGCGTGAAGTTATAGATCTGAGGCGCCATGATGATCGCGGGCGGATCGAGCTCGGCACTCTCTCAAAAACTCTGAAACTTCGTTCCTTGGGGGAATGAGTGGCTTTTGCTACTAAAATGGCACACGGCTATCGGATGGAGAACCAATAAGCTAGCAGGGGCGATATATAGCGGAGAGCAGAGCCTGCTTCTTGTGGTGGTGCATGTGTTCGAGGAGAATGGTGGGTGGAAGGTAAGTTGTAGTAAGCATCCAATCTCACGCCGTAACAGTAACAGTACCCCTACCCGCTGCACCCTTGCATCGCTGGAGAGATGGGTGGAACGACGGGATTTCGATCCCCAAAATCACGACGCCGCAAAATGATTTCGATCCCCAAAACCAGCATAATCCGTGGATTTCTACTCATACCACGCTAGAGTAAAGTAACACCAGACTGAACCCCTAAATATTCTCACCGACTTTTTATTAATTGGTCTGCGGGATGTGCGCGCGCGACTCGGCACGTTGGACGAATTTCCCCTTCCAAACACATATCATTTTTTCGACGTAGACCTGGGCAGCAAGAAATAATATTTGCGACACTGGCCAAGCATGGTATTGGTATTTCATTGCTGGATGATCGCATTTTCCAGCTGCGCCTGTGTCTGTCGGCCGTTCATCCACCCTGAAATGGAATTTTACGCCAGCTGGGTAGATAAAAAAATCTTCTTTAGGGTGGACCCGGAAATATCAGCGGACATTTCCTTGTTGTTACGAAGCTTCTCACTGTGTTTCGTGTGGTCGGAGGGTGACCGCGCAAAGATCAGACTCGATGTTATGGTACTTGTCAGATAATTTAGCAGTTTTTGTAAATCAGCTGAATAAAATCCTTTTCATATGGTACACGCACACACTCCAAGCTGAGCAAGGCAACGAAAATATATATTACTGAAAAGCACTTGATACCAATGAAAAGCGAGTTCCTAAACAAGCATCCGCGGTTTACAACAAAGCAAGTGAACAGTTGCAACATTAATAAATAATTGAACATAATAACCAACTACCATCTTCTACCACCTTGCTGTCCTTGGTTGTAGCTGCTGCGGTTGTAGCCATGACTGCTACTGCCACCAGTCGTGCCGCTGCCCTGATGGGCCCCTGAAGCTTGAGCCTGTTGGGACCCGGGCCAAGGCCGAGCACCAGCACTCACCTCCTCTCCTCTACCCCACTGCCTGCTTGCTTCCTCCCTCCTCTCCTTGCTGCCTCCCTGATCGCCCCCTTTGCCTCCTTGCGTACGTGATTGGTTGGTGGATGAAGAGTGAGTGGTGGTGAAGGAGGCTGTATCGGGTGTGATTATATCCCACACATACTTCCTGGGCTCTGGCTTCTTAGGCGCCCCTCTGCCTCTCTCTCGCTCCACTCTTGAACCATCACTGTCACTCTCTTCGTCCTCCTCTTCCCCCTCAGTATAATCTTCCTCTTCCTCATCATCATCATCCTCATCGTCTTCCTCCTCATCTTCCTCCTCATCTTCCTCCTCGTCTTCCTCTTCCTCTTCATCTTCTTCTTCCTCCTCCCCCTCTTCTTCTTCCTCTTCTTCCTCATCTTCCTCCTCCTCTTCTTCCTCTTCCTCCTCTTCTTCCTCTTCCTCCTCTTCTTCCTCTTCCTCCTCTCCTTCCTCCACTTCATCCTCCTCCGCTTCTACCTTCTTTTCCTCCTCCATCTCCGTCCGACCCCACTCAACCCCCTGCCTACTCACAACTACCCCTTCTCTCTGCCCATACCCCTCTCCACCACTCAGTCCCTCTCCCCACTTTCCTCCACCCCTCTCTCCACCCTTCTCACCGCTCAACGCACCCCACAACTCCTTCCCTTCACTCCCGCGGCGCGTAACACTGCTCTCGCTCTGCCTACCCTGCCCTCCACTCTCCCTCCTTTCTTCCCGTGAGCCTGGTCTATTCCGAAGGTCTACACTAATTCGACTTCCCGCCTCCCTCCCAACCCCTCCCTCCACCACCTCCCATTCTCCTCCTCCCTCCCTCTGCTTCCTGCCCCTGTCTCCCTGCCAGCTTTCCCGATCTTCCATATTCCTACCCTCCTTACCCTCATCCCTCCCATCCCCATCCCTGCGATCCCTATTCCATCCACGCTGGTCCCAATCAACACTTCGCCTACCGTCCCTCCGCCCCCCTTCCTCCCCTCTCACACCCCCTCTCTCCCACCCTCTCTCACCCACCCTCTGTTTCTCCCCCTCTCCAACCTGCCACGCCTTGTTTCTAGAAGCTTCCTGATTCTGATACCCTGAGAGGTCAACAGAGAGCGGCCTGACTCGAGCATGGGGGAGAGAAGGAGGAGCAATAGAAGGCGCAGGAGGAATAGCAGGAGCAGAATCAGGAGCAGGGGAAGGGGAACGGGACCGCATCCCCCGATTCCCACCCCAGTTCCCTGACCCTGACCCTGACCCTGGTCCATCACCCGATCCCACTCTCCCTCTCTCGCCAGCCCGCTCCCAAGCAACTCCAGATTCCCTTTCATCCGCAGCAACAGCAGCAACAGCAGCAACAGCAGCGACGGCAGCGGCGGCAGCGGCGGCAGCAGCAGGGGAGGCAGGCACGCGCGGTGGGGTGCGGGTGCGGCCATTGAAAGACTGCCCTCGCTCTCCTTGCTCAGCAAACGACTGCCTCCTCTCCGCATGACCCGCCGCGCCGTACCGCTCCCGGTCCTTAAACGAGCCGCTCCGCTCCCCGAACCGGCCACCAGGCTCGGCAGACGAGCCAATGAGATCTCGAGATGATCTGCTCCGGCCTCTGGTCGACCCACCGAGGTCTCTAGATTCCTCATCGTCCTCCATCCTCCCACTCCGGTCCTTGAACGAGCCACTGCGGTTTCCGAACGAGCCCGACCGGTCTTTAGAAGACAGGGTGCCATCCGCAGAGGCAGCAGCAGCAGCAGCAGCAGAGCCAGGAAGGGCAAAGAGAGAAGCGCGTCGCTGTGCCACACTGCTGCCTGAAAGCTCTTTCCTCGGCCGAGGTGCAGGAGGGGACCAGTCCCTTCCCTCACGCCCCAACTGTGGCGACCAGTCTCTCCCCTCGCGGCCTTTCAAAGGGGATTTAAAGCGGTTCCGGGGGGACGGGGACGGGGAGCGGAACGGGGAGAGGGGCGGGGAACCATCACCGTCGCGATCGCGAGTGGAGCTGGAGTGATGGTGGTGACGATGCTGATGATGATGATGGTGATGGTGGCGATTGTCTGTGTGGGTAGGTGCAGGCGGGAAAGGCGGGTTCCTTCTGTCGGCACTGTCTAGAGTGTGACTGCGACCCTTCCATTCCCTCGCTGCTGCCTCGTAATCCTCCTCCTCTTCCTCCTCCTCCCCCTCCTCCTCTCGCTCATCCTTATCCTTCCAGCCCCTGTTCTTCCCCTCTTCCTCGTCCTCCTCCTCACTCCCATCCTCTGATTTACCCACCCCATCCTCCCTCCCACCTTCCATCCATTCCTTTCCATCTGACCCTCTCTCCTTGTCACTCCCGAACCTGCGCATGAACCTGGACCCCGAACCTCCTCCCGAGCCTCCTCTGTCCTTGCCCCGGGGGCTCCTCTGGTGCGGATTGAGCTTCGGCGCGTCAGAGGAGGTTCGGAGGAGCCCGGTTTTGAGTTCTAGCTTCCTTGCGTGGGGTAGTTCATACACTCTGTTCTGCACCTTAGGCACCCAGGGAAACTCCCTGTTATCCCCCTTAGTAGCCTCCTCAGTCTGTCCGCTGGAGCGACCTTTGGGGCTGGAAGGTGTAGAAATGGTTCGCCTATGGTGCTGGTGTTGGTGCTGGGGCTGGCGCTGGTGCGGCTGCTGTTGCTGATGTTGATTAGGATTGTAGGGTGGATGAGAAGAAGCCAAAAAGGAAGCTTCCAGCTGCTGCTGCTGCTCAGGTTCCCTTAAGTTCTGACGGTGGAAACGCGACAAAAGATGATCCATCTCGCCTTCTCCCACCGCCACTACTGCCTCTTCTACTCCTCCACTCCCTTCCACTTCCTCTGCTTCCCCTCCCACTAATCCAACTGTAACAGCATCAACTGTGGTCGTACCAACACCCGCTGCTTCACCCCGCTTCCCAGCCTTATCAGCAGCACTGCAACTACCCACAGGCAGCTTCCGGGAAAACGTGAGAGAAACAGAGAGGGAGGGAGAAGCAGGGACCTCTAATTCACTCTCTCCTCCACTCTCTCCTCCACTCTCTCCTCTGCTTTCTTCTCTGCTTTCTTCTCTGCTCTCTCCTCTGCCCTCTGCTGCCCCGCTCCCAGCCCCGGTCTTCTCTCCCCTGCTCTCCTCTTCCCCACACGCCTCCTGCTCTCTTCCGTGCCCCGCCCTCCCTATCTGTTCCTTATTCAAAGGATTGGGATTCGCGTCTCTCTCTTCCCCCCTGCTCCCCTCTGCAACCCCACCTCTCTCGCTCCCTTTGCTGCTTCCCTCTGCACTCCCAGCTCTCTCCCTCCCCCTGCTGCTGCTCCTATCAAGACGGCTCAAAGGAGATTTGGACCGTTGATTTCTCTCACACGACGGGGGGCGAGGAGGGGAGCTACCACTGATCTGGTTACCACTGATCTGGTTACCACCAGAACCATCGTCGTCACCACCCCTGTCACTGCCTCTTCCCCTGACCCTCTCCGGCGAGCCTTGGCCCGGGCCTGGGCTCGCCAAGCCTGGCAGTGCCGAGGCTACACTGGAGGTTCGGAGGAAGCCTTGGGGGCGCCTACCCCCGAGCTCCTGTAACAGGAAGGATCGGGCGGCGCTTTGGGCGCGATGGGGGGGGTTGAGGGGCGGGGAGGCATCGCGGGGGGGAGGAGAGACACTGTGGGGAAGCGGGGGAGAAGAGTCGTGGGCAGGAGGAGGAGAGGGGGTGCGGGGAGGATGTGACGGGGTCTGGTTAGGACGAGGAGGAGAGGGGGTGTGGGTAAGAGGAGCAGAGGGCGTGCGAGGGAGAAGGGGGGAGGGGGGTCGTGGCGGGTGTGGGGATAGGGAGCGGGTAAGGGAAGGGGAGGGGGGTTTTGGGGGGTGACGGGAAGGGGAGGAGGCAAGGGGAGGGGGAGGTGCATGAAGTGCGCTGGTGTGGTCAGGAGGGGATGAGAGGGGCGATGTTACAGGGGGTGAGATTGGAACAGTAGTGGCAGCAGTGGAAACTGTAGCAGCTGTAGCAGCCATGGCGGCTGTGTCAGCTGTAGCAGCAGTGTCAGCTGTAGGAGCAGCAACAGCCGTGGAAGCAGCTTCTGGTTCGGCTTCTGCCGTTGCTTCGTCTGACCCAGCCATCATCCCAGCAGATAAAATGCGGGTCGGGGATTCGACAGCACGTGCAGCAGCCACAGCACCGGCAGTTGCCTGAAACGAATCCAGAGAACCCCGTCTCTCCCCTCCTTCACCCCATCCTTCTATCCCTTCTCTCCCCCATCCGCTTCCACTATCTCCCCCAACCTCTCCCCCGCCATCTCCCGCCTTTGCTCCCCCCTCCTCTCCCACCCCATCCCCTCGCCCATCCCTTCCCTTGCGCCCAGTCCGCATGGTTGGGAGCCGAAGCTTCACTGACGGCCGGGACCACGGCCACACCCCACCTCCCGAGCCTGATCCAGCACCCGAACCTCCGTGCGAGCCTGGCTCCGCACCTGACGCGTCCGAGCCAGTGCAATTCGGGTCGGCAACGCGGGGGGAAACGGGCGGGTGAGGAACGCTGGGTAGGGGGTGGGCAGGAGGGGAGGGGGAGCGGCGATGAGGGGAGGGAGAGCGGTGTTTGGTGAGGGGGAGGGGGAGGGGGAGGATGCGGAGGCCTTTCATGTCCGGAGTGCTGGGGAGAGACATGAGGCGCCGGTGCCGCCGCGGCTTTTGCTCTGCCTGCTGCTGCTGCTGCTGGGGCTGCTGGGGCTGCTGGGGGTTCTGTTGCTTCTGCTGCTCCTGGTGCTGTTGCTGCTGCTGCTGCTCCATCTGTTGCTGCTGAACCTCCTCTAGCTGCAACTGCAGGTGGAACTGCTGAAACACGTTCTCAGACTCTTGCTGCTTATCTGACGGGTGATCAGCCACCTGCACCCCTTCCAACCGCTCTCCACCTGGCATTTCCGCCTCGAAACTGTCTCTGCATGCAGCAGAGCCAGTGCTGGAAGCAGGGGAGGGGCCAGTGGAGGAGTGGGCGCATAAGGAGCGAGCAACTGACATTGACTGGACGGATAAGGATCGTACAGGCATGGGGCGAGCAGCAGGAGAGTGGGCGGCAGAGGAATGGCCGGCAGGGGACCGGGCGGCAGGAGAATGGGCGGCAGACGAGGTCTGCGACTGGGGCTGGGACTGTAACGAGGGTGACTGCAACGAGTGATGGAAGGACCGGAAATCCTCGTTGGTAGTGCTGCGGTGGCGGTGGTGGTGGGGGTGGGCCGGAGGCGTCTTGTTCTTGCGGAGGAAGCGGGAGGAGGAGAAGGAGAGAGAGCCGGAGGGCGGCAGCGGGGGAGGGGCAGCGGACGGGGATGCTGTGGGCTGACCAGGACCCCCACTGCTCCCACCAGTACCCCCCCGTACGCCACCTACGACCCCTCCTTCTCCCACCCCTCCTCCCACCCCTCCTGCACCTCCTGCTCCTCCTGCTCCTGCTGCCCCTGCAGCTCCTGCTTCTGGGGAGCGTTTGGGGAGGCCGAGGTCGTGGTGAGAGGCGCTTCTACGGTGGAACGAGAGGCCTGCTCGCCTCACAAACCCTGCCACCGACCCTCCTCCTCCTCCTCCTCCTCCTCCTCCTCCTCCTCCTCCTCCTCCTCCTCCTCCTCCTCCTCCTCCTCCTCCTCCTCCTCCTCCTCCTCCTCCTCCTCCTCCTCCTCCTCCTCCTCCTCCTCCGCTCTCCTTCCTGCCGCCGCTGCCGCTGCCGCCATTGCCGATGCCGCTGCTGTTGCTGGTGTTGTCAGCTGCGGTGTTGCTGCTGCTGCTGGCGCCACCGATACCGCTGCTCACGCTGATTGAAGCCCGGGGGAAAACTCTTGGTGAGACTGGCACACTTGTCCCCCCTCTGCTTCCTCCTTCTGCCTCTGCTTCCTTGCCTCCCATCAGTTCGGCTCCTGCTGCTGCTGCCATTCCTCCTCCCCCTTCTCCACCCCCTCCTCCTCCTGCTCCGCCTGTCTCCCCTACTGCCTCCCCTGCTGCAGCCTCGGACTGTTTAGGAACGGAGAAGAGGCCTCGCGTGATAGGGGAGAGTAGGGGCATAGCAGCAACAGCACCCACAGAGTGCCTCCTAGCGTGCCGAGTCCTCTCCCTCACACTCCCGCCCAGCCTCTTCCCCCCGCTTATCAGTCCCCCGAACAGCCCCCCTCCGCCACTGCTGCTTCCCCTCACGGATCCCGCTCTGCTGCTTCTCCCACTGCTCCCACTGCTCCCACCGCTCCCACCGCTCCCACCGCTCCCACCACTCCCACCACGCGCACCGCTGCTCCCACCGGCGCTTAGCATTCCGCCAGCGCTTAGCTCGTCACCAGGGCTAAACCCAGGGGGGCTGTTGCTGGTGGCCGGGCTGCTGGCGCAGAGCAGCGCGCGGGGGCTCATCAGGGGGCTCTTCCCCCCGCTGCTCCCGCTGTGCGTGGGCGGAATGACAGGGGGAAGCCCGGGGGAAGGGGAGAGCCCGGGGGAAGGCAGGGGAATGGGGGGAAGGTGGGAGTGCGCGCGGGAGGAGCGAGAGAGAGGGCTGGATCGGGGGGAGCGGTTGGCATAGGGCGGCGTGGTGGCCCCTGAGGGGGAGGCGAAGGCGGAAAGGGGCGGAGGGGGGAGGGCGGAAGCAAAGGCGGAGAGGGGAAGGGAGTCCGCGGGTAGAGGGCTTGTGTTGGGAGTCCCTTGGATCGGCTCTAGCACCATACTGAGTGACCTCCTACTCTCCCTCGCCTCCCTCCCGTCCCTCCCCTCCCTCCCCTCCCTCCCCTCACGCCCCTCCCTCCACTCCCTCCCCTCGCGCCCTTCCCTTCCCTCTCTTCCCCCATCTCTGCTGCTGAGGCTGCTGCTGCTGCTCCTTCCGCTGGTGCTGCCAATATCTCCGCCAATGCTCCCATAAGCGGCGGAAAACCAGCCTGTTCCGCCATATCCCCCTCCCCCGCCCCCGCTGCTACCCCCAGCAGTCCCACCCCACCCACCGCTTCCCCCCCACCCCCCACTTCCGCCGCAGCCTCCCCCACTCCCCCTGAGGCCTTCCCCGAACGCCCCACGCACGCTCCCTCCTGCCCTCCTCACTCCCTCCCCCTCACCCCCTGCGCCGCCCCCACCCCCGCCCCCCTCCCTCCGCGCGCCTCCCCCCACTCCCCCCCCATCCTGGGAAGCTTCCGAGAAGCTGTGGCTCCTGCTATGGCGCAGGCTCCGCCTTACCGCCCATCCGCTCCCCCCGCCCGCCCCGCCCGGCCCCCCAGGGCCGGAAAGGGGGGCGCCTGGAGGCGTTGACCTGCTCCGCGGAACCTCCTCTAGGGATTCTCCACAGGCGGGGGGAGTGGGGCGGCCGTTATAGGACGCGGAGAGGGGGGCGGAAGGGGGCAGCGGGGGGAAGGGGAGGGGGGAGGGGGTAGAGGCGGAGGAGGAGGAGGACGGAGGACCGAAGGCTCCCCCTGCTGCCGCTGCTCCCCCTGCTGCCCCTGCGCCTGCCCCTATGCCTGAACCCGCCCCTGCCCCTTCCGCCAGGAATCCTCCCCCCTCGTTTCCGCCCCCCTTGGCGGATCTCCCCCCCAGGTGCACGTCTACTAGGAGGTTCCGCCACGCCCTATAACGGGACTGGGAGGATGATAACGCGGACGGCGACTGGCCTGCTAAATTCCCTTCCGCCCTGCCCGCCCCGCCCGCCTCCCCCGCCCCTCCTATAGGCACCACTCCCCCTGCTCTTCCCCCTTCCGCGGACCCTGCACTGCGGGTCCGGCCAAACGCCATGCTCGCGCCCCCCTGCGCCCCCCCCTGCGCCTCCCCCTGCGCCACCCCCTGCGCCCCCCTTTGCGCCAACCCCCCTTCCCCCAGCCCGTCAAGGCGCATGTTTAGCTGGTCCTGGGCGGAAAAGGAGGGCGGATAGGCGGAATCAAAGGAGGGCGCATACGCGGAGTTGAAACTCCTAGACCTCAGACCCCCCTGGGACAGCGCCGCCCCTTCCTCCCCCTCATCCTCCCCGTTCCCCGCTTCTCCACTCCATTCCTCCCTATTCCCCCGCTCACCATACCCCCCCTCACCACTTCCCCCCTCGCCAATCCCCCCATCACCTCCCCGCCGCCCTGCCGCCGCCCCTGCTGATAAATCTCCCGCGAAATCCACCTGCTGCTGCTGCTGCTGCTGCGGCAGCGGCTGCTGCTGCAAGCCAGATAGGTCCATTCCCCCCAGCGCGTCGCTCCCAAACGCCTGGGACGGCCGCTTTCTAGCCGCCGGCCCCTCCGAGTCCCGAGAATTCGGAGAATTTTTAGAGACCTGAGAGATTTGAGAGTTGTCAAAGTAAGTCTGCTGAATAGCCGAGAGGTCTAACCCTCCCAAGGCATCGCTGCCAAACGCCTGGGACGGCCGCCGCAGCCGCCCCAGGAACCGGCTGACCGTCTGGCTGCCGCCCAGCTTCTTCAACCCTGCCTGCCCGCCGCCGCCCGGTTTCTTTGACCCCCCGCCCCGCACACTGCCGAATCCGAACCCTCCCCCTCCCCCTCCTCCGCCTCCCCCTCCGCCTCCGCCTCCGCCTCCGCCTCCGCCTGCGCCTGCGCCTGCGCCTGCGCCTGCGCCTGCGCCGCTGTCCCTGGTTCGCGCTCCCTCTTCCCCCTCCTCCTCATCGCTATCATCACTATTCCCGCCCGTGACCAGGCCACTGACACTGTGCCTCCTCCCCCTAACCCTCCCACCCCCTCCCGCTCCTGCTCCCGCTCCCCCTCCCCCTCCCCCTCCTATCCCCCAATCGTCATCCGAATCCTCCTCTTTCCCGTCCCCATCCTCCCCGGCTGCACCCGCTTTCTCCCCCTCAAATTCATCCGGGCTATCCCACGAGTCCACCATGAAACTACTCCCAAAGACCGGCGCAACGAGCGTCTTAATATCCTGCTCGTCGATCACCGCCTTGTCCTTATTCGCCGAATCCGTCGCGTACGACTCGGCGAAGATCCGAACCGCCGGCCCGGACTGGGGCTTCCGGTGCAGCAGGTTTGGGGAGAGCAGCAGGTCGCCCATATCCTCGTTATCAGCTGCCCCGCTACGCAGCAGCTGCCACGCTGCGTGCGCCTGAGCGACTATCTCCATCACCTTGTCCTGCCCCGCCTTGCCCTGGCTTAGCGTCAGCACCTTGGTCTTTTCACCTGGGAAGCAATAAGGGTATGAGAGGTGAAGGGAGTCGAGGAAGAGAGAGGGAAAAAAAGGAATTAGAAGGATGGAATCAAATATTGGCAGAGCAGAGCAGAATCACCTTGTCGTGTCCTGCCCCGCCTTGCCCTGGCTTAGCGTCAGCGAGAGGGTCTTTTCTCCTGGAATATTGGGAGGTACGAGGGGAAAGAAAACAGAGGAATTTGAACGAGTTTCGGGTCGACTTTAAAATCAAAATGCACTTCAGAAGCGTCTGCACGATGCCCGCCACGTTCTCGTCCCGCCGCTCAGGTCCTGAAACGATCTTCCTCTATTACCCCCCTTCCCAGCGCCGCAAGCTCCAAATGTCCCCCCCTGAACGGTCCGGTCCATTACTACAAATCTCTCCCACTCTCGCTTTCTCCTCTCGGGCCTCCATCTCCCACCCCACATTCCATCACCCTATCACCTCCGCAGTGCCGGCCGGCGCGCAGCCAGTCGAGAATACAGTCCAGAAGCGTCTGCACGATCCCCGCCACATTCTCGTCGCTCAGGTCCTGAAACGATCTTTTGAGTCGACTCAAAAGTCGCAGCCAGTCGCGAATACAGTCCAGAAGCGTCTGAACGATCCCCGCCACGTTCTCGTCGCTCAGGTCCTGAAACGATCTTACTCTACTCCCTTCCTCTCCCGCACCCACAATGCGCCACCGTCTCACCTCCGCAGTGCCGGCCGGCGCGCAGCCAATCGCAAATGCAGTCCAGCAGCGTCTGCACGATCCCCGCCACGTTCTCGTCGCTCAGGTCCTGAAACCCCGACGGGTCGTCCGTCGCGATCCCCACCACCTTCCACGAAAGCTGGAACCCGCGTGGATCCACCAGCACGAACGCCGCTAGCGGCTCGACCGCGTAGGCCTCGCCTAACTGCCGGACCTGGCTACCTATGTCGATTAACTCCACGGGACTGTCGTCTAGGGGCAGGTTCCCGAATTCCGGGCAGCGCGTGGACGAGTCGGCCCAGGTTTGCGGGAACACGCCGAAGTTCCACGGGATCGGGTCGGCGAACCTCATGGGTTTGTTATTGCGTAACCGCATTCGCAGCGGCGCGAGGCGTTCGCGGACGGCGACTTCGTAGTCGTCCTGGCAGCCCTTGGGGGTGAGGCAGACGGCGTTGAAGGTTCCGTTGGAAGAATGCAGCGGCACGTCGTGCCACGGAGACACATCGTTACAAGCATCGTCGATTAGCGTCACGCGGAAAGAGTTTCCTCCTGGCGTTCCCAAGGTTACGGGGATCCACGTGCCGGGGGCTGGAGTGGGCACGTTGTAGACACGCTTTTCACCCGCCTCGTCCGGCTTGCCTGTCCCTGCCGTCTTATCATCCACCTCTTCCTCTTCATCTTCTTCCTCCTCCTCTTCCCCATCCTGTTCGTCATCTGCTTCGTCCTCGTCGCTATCCATTTCGCTTTCCTCTCGCCATTTCTCGCCAAGATTAGGATACATTTTTGTATCGTCGACAAGAGCCATGGCTAGATTTTAGTTCTGGCGTAAAGCAACCCCGTTCTATATTCTAATACTAACGCATTTCGCAGGGATAACGCATTTTGCAGGTGCGGCGCATTTGGCACGAGTAGCGCATTGCGCACGAGCCATGCATCGTCATCGACCTACATTGTACCGTGTGCCGTCCTACCGTCCTCACAAGCCATTGCAAGTCCTGGCCGATGGGAAATGGAGCGTACTTCACGGTAGCCAACTAAAGCTGTGCTGTGGCTACCTCGTGAAGAGTACGAAGCTCAACTGCTTTTGCAGGTGGCATGGACAGAAACCCTAATGGCATGTTCATTGCTCAAACACTTGCTGCTCAAATCAGCTACTTACACGGGTTAATCACGGTACATTGTGGTTCAATACGGTAGATTGTGTTATGAGCCTCACCTGAATGATTCTATTCATATCAGTACGCGACCGAAACAGAACCATCATGGAGCAGAGCTGCCTTGCGAGGGTGCGGTGGACGAACATCCCGAGCTGCCCCATTCGAACTGCCACCAGACGACTCTACCGTGTTATTTAGCAACACACCGCACCGTTTGAAAACGTATGTGAAAGGCGTGAAAGCTTGGTCCACACTGCTCACCCTCGCCAGAAATCAACATACATATATTGTTGACGTCTCACTTATAGAAAGTCACCGGGTTGGGGAAACCGGAAAAACAGAGCTGGAAGGAGGCTCCTGGTTCTGGAAAAGAGAGTCAACCGGTGTATATAAACTGTACAGTACGATATGCGAAACCCAAATCTTTTGTTGCATGCGACTGAATTGACGCGTCCTGCCTGCCCACACGACCCACGGCAATCCGCGCAAGCTGGATCAAGCTGTAGACAGCTAGCGAAAGCGGTGTCGTGTGGTCGTGTAACCCGACGAAACGACAGGAACCTCCGTCCCTGCTATCGCAGATAGATTCATGACGGAACAACACATGCTGTTGTAATTGGTATTCACGAAGCGAACGATGAACCATCCGCCATCTGTTTTCAATCCCGTCAAACTGTTTTCGCGATTATTCTCTTTGCAGTACTTCACTAGCGATAAGAGCTTGGCACCCCACACTATGTTACTGTGTATCAGGTTACAGTGCAGCTTGGGAATTCCCACGCATGAATTTGCCAGCCCGGCTTGAGAGGTTCACTATAGGCATGACAGCTTTACATAGCTGCTGCTAGGCTGGCTGTGAGCTGTCTCGCTCGTAACAGCTGCATATTCTTGATTTATATAAGCAAACATAGAGATACTTGTGCATCTTCTCGGATTCACTTCTTCCATACTGTTAGACCTCAAATGTTTCTTTTTGCATGAGGGGTATTTGGTGCTATATATAACATCATTTCTATGCAACTATGGTGGCTGTGTGTCCAACTGCCTGTATAGTGGAACACATTGCTTCTCGCACCGCCTTATGATTATTAACTGTTAGACAAGCTACTCAGTGTCGCACATTATCCTGTCATAAATTATCCAGTTGGATGCGTTTACAAATGCCGGTTCGGCGTTGCGTGCGGTCAAGTGCCTGCATCCGCATAGGATTGCAATAACAAATACACATTTTAAGTTATGGTAGACTCGCAAAAAGGTGAGGTGCAAGCAACCACACACAAACAGTAGCTCACATTTCATGGCAGCCCAACCAACCCGGTTGTCCTCCTGGTCGTGAATCACAAGGAAATCCCTCATCCATAGAGCTGCGATAATAGGGAGGGGGGAAGGGAGAGAGAGGATGTTGAGTTGATGGTGGCTCAGGAGGTATCACAGAATGGAAAGCAGGACTGGTTCTTATGCACACAAAAATTAGTTGCAATAAACAATCGCGCATGGGGAACAGGCGAAGGGCAACAGCATGATATGTTCACATGATAAGTCAGCAGATGCCAAAATAATAGTACCACCACTGCGTTGGGAGAGAAATACAAGTACCGCATCACCACGGTGCATGCCTCGGCAGCGCCCAGTGTGCTTTGCTGGCTTGCAATCATGACAAGAGCACCACGCACTGCGAGGTTAGTGTGTGCCAACTGTGTTTTGCCACCCACCGAGCCTTGCCGCTCAATGTGCCTTGCCGCTCAATGTGCCTTGCCGCTCAATGTGCCTTGCCGCAAAATGTGCCTTGCCGCTCAATGTGCCTTGCCACTCAATGTGCCTTGCAGCTCAATGTGCCTTGCCAGCCACCGTGCCTTGCCGCCCAATGTGCCTTGCCAGCCACTGTGTCTTGCCGCTCAATGTGCCTTGCCAGCCACTGTGCCTTGCCGCCCAATGTGCCTTGCCAGCCACTGTGCCTTGCCGCTCAATGTGCCTTGCCAGCCACTGTGCCTTGCCGCCCAATGTGCCTTGCCAGCCACTGTGCCTTGCCGCCCAATGTGCCTTGCCGCCCACCATGCTGTCCTCGCACCCAGCATGCTGCAGCTCACCTCCGATGATGAAGGCCAGTCCATGAGGGGCCTTCATGGTATCAGACCCCAGCACCACCTGCGTGCACACTATCTCCACCCCCTCGTCCTGGCGTTCGTGGTGGTAAGGGGATTGAAGAGAAATTACTCAAACATTGAGGCGTCTCAGAATGCTTCTTTTATCACCTGAGTGCACACTACCTCCACCCCCTCGTCCTGGTGGAGGGGGGGGGGGGGGGGGGGGGGAGGAGGAAAGGAAGGATACACGACCTTTTAGCTGTCTCAAAACTGTTGAGCTCGTTGGGGACCTTCAGGGTGTGTGACCCCAGCACCACCTGCGTGCACACTATCTCCTCCACCCCTCGTCCGGTTGTTGGGATGAATGGGACGGAAACGGAGGGAGGGATGGACTACTGATTTTGAGCTGTCTCAAAACTAGAAGCCATGGTAGCACCATCAGCAGCTAGCCTGGGTATCATGGTGTAGCAGCACGGTGACCATGGTTTAGCCTAAACTATGAAGAAATCACAAGCACAGATGTCTCAAACAGGCACAGCATGACTTTAAAGTCCGTGGCAACACAAGCGTCACTGTGATGTCAAATGCCAAGGAATATCAGCGCTTACCATGGCTTTGAACGTGTACGTGTGGAGTGGCAAATTCATGAACACGCCCATCCCTTCCAAGTACAGCAAGTACGAGTACAGACATCTCAACAGATCCCCATGGCATTTCAGCGCTTACCATGGCTTTGAACGTGTACGTGTGGAGTGGCAAATTCATGAACACGCCCATCCCTTCCAAGTACAGCAAGTACGAGTACAGACATCTCAACAGATCCCCATGGCATTTCAGCGCTCACCATGGCTTTGAACGTGTACGTGTGGGGCGGCAAATTCATGAACACGCCCCTCCCTTCGAATTGCAGGTTGATGTGGGGGAAACGGTTCCTCACATCCTCTGCTGTCAGCCTGGCGAAAGAAGAGAGTGAAGGGGAATGGGAAATTGGAGGGGAGGAGAGAGCAGGGGGAGAAGGGGCTTGATGGATCGTTGCAGGTCGATGTGCGGGAAGCGATTCCTGACGTCCTCTGCTGTCAGCCTGAAGTGGAGAGATTGGGGGGAGCGAGCGAGGGGAAGAGGATGCGTGGGAGGAGAAGGAGGGGGTTGGAGCGGGGGTGGTTGGTAGTCGAAGCCGAGGGAAAACTGGGCATGCTGGTTCATAGCAGGTTGACATTGGGAAAGCAGTTCCTGACGCCTTCTGCTGGCTGACTTTTGAGTCGACTCAAAAGTCACCTGGCTGACATTTGAGTCGACTCAAAAGTCGAAGCCGAGGGAAAACTGGGCATGCTGGTTCATAGCAGGTTTTTGACATTGGGAAAGCAGTTCCTGACGCCTTCTGCTGGCTGGAATGGGATGGGTGAATAAGATGCGAGGGAAGGGGAAGCAGAGCATATAGACGCATGCCGTGAACACACACAGCCGTTATCGCACACACACTCACGCATACATGCACCCATTCTCCAACAAACTTACACACACACACACACACACACACACACTCACTCACTCGTCGGTGGAGGAAAAGCAGAGCGAGCCCTCCTTGCCAATGGAGAAGGGATAGCGCGGCAGCCCCACTGCCGTCTGGATCTGAGGAGGCCAAGAGGGAGCAAGTGGAAGGGGCATGCAAGGGAAGGACAAGGGAGTGAAGGGTGAGGAGATGGACAAAGCACAACAAAACAGTCCGCCTTCTCAATGGAAAGCACACGATGTGAAATGAGTGAGCTTGAGACGTCGCAAAAACTCGCTCATTTCAAGTGGCATACTGCCTTCAGAGCCAACTCAGGACTGCCCTTGTTTCGATACCTCACAGGAGGTGTTTTCATTTTTCCCAGGAGAGAAACTGGTCACAGTGTTGAGTCGACTCAAAACATACCTCACAGTTTTGAGTCGATACCTCACAAAAGGTGTTTTTTCTTTTTACCCAGGAGAGAAACTGGTCACAGTACACAAGAGTTGCCTTCTGACTTAATCATGGACGCTTGGATATGGACTCACAAGGTGGAAGAGAGGCGGGACAAAGAGAGGCGGCATGATGGAGTAGGTGGTGCCGCTGTCAAAGATGGCATTGCCGTGGGTCAGGTTGCCGTACTGCGCTGGATTCACCGCCACCTCTATTCCCCCCACAAACACCTTCCTCAGTGTCACTTTGTAGAAACTGAGGGCCGGGGGCAGGGGGTCAGGGAAAAGGGGGCAGAGGAGGAAAGAGGGAAGGGCACAAGGAAGAAAGAGCTAAGATTGCCGTGCTGCGCTGGATAAACAGAAGTGTTTTAAGACGTCTCAAAACACTTCTGTTTAAAGGGGGCAGAGGAGGAAAGAGGGAAGGGCGCAAGGAAGAAAGAGCTCAGATCAGATTGCCGTACTGCGCTGGATTCACTGCCAGGAGTTTTTTAGAATTCTCAAAAACTCATTGCCGTACTGCACTGGATTCACTGCCGGGAGTTTTTTAGAATTCTCAAAAACTCATTGCCGTACTGCACTGGATTCACTGCCGGGAGTTTTTTAGAATTCTCAAAAACTCATTGCCGTACTGCACTGGATTCACCGCCGTTCTGTGCCTTTGCAGGCAGGCACTGTGGTGGATTCGCAGGCATCTCCATCCCGCCTGCGAACACCCTCCTCAGAGTCATTGTGTAGAAGCTGCAGAGCGGGGGGAGAGGAGGATAGGTGGAAGGAAGGACGGGAGAGGTTGCAGTGCTGGCTGGCTTAACTGCCACCTGCGGGCCAGGCCCCCGCTAGACACTTCCTCAACGCCACTTTCTACAGGCTGACATGAGGGGGGCATAGAAGCAACCATAAATACCTGTTTTTGAATCGACTCAAAAACAGGCTCAGGCACTTTCTCAACGTCACTTTGTGCAGGCAGGCTGACACGAGGGGGCCTGGAAGCAACCATAAAAACTCGAACTCCCCAAGCCAAATCGCAGCACTGACGTTTCATTTCATGTGGTCCCAGGGGCGTGAAGGCAGTGAGAGCGGGGATGGGTGGACATTCCAGGCGCCTAGAGAGAGACACCAAAAACAGACAACCTCAGAGCAAGGTAAGAGTAGTACTCACGTTTCATCTGGTCGCAGGTGACTTTTGAGTCGACTCAAAAGTCACCTCGCCTAGAGAGACACCAAGAATCACAAGCTCAGAGCAAGGTACCAGTACTCACGTTTCGTCTGGTCGCAGGGGTGTGAAGGCGGTGAGAGGCGGAATGGGAAGGTCCCCCACTGTCATCCACCCACCTCCGCCATCGCCCCCCAGGCAATGCGCCACCACCTGCCTGCTCGCCAGAGGGAGGACGAGGGGAGAGGGGAGGAGGAGAGAAAGGAGGTGAGGAGGGAGGAGAGGAAAGGGGAGAGGAGGGGTGAGAGGAAGGGGGATGAGGGGGAGGGTCACCCACTGTCAACCACCCACCTACCCCATCGTCCCCCAGGCAATGCGCCAGCACCTGCGTGCTCGCCAGAGGGGTATGGGACGGGATGGATGGAGGGAGAAGAGCAAGAGGTAAGAGAGGGGGGATGGGAAGGTCCCCCACTGTCATCCACCCGCCCCCCCGTCGCCCCCCCGTCGCCCCCCCGTCGGCCTCCCCGTCGCCCCCCCCGTCGCCCCCCCCGTCACCCCCCCCCCCCCCCCCGCCGCCCCCACCGTCGCCCCCCAGGCAGTGGGCCACCACCTGTTTGCTCGCCAAGGGGCAGGGGAAGAAGAAAAGAGGAGAGGAAGGAAGAGAGTGAAAGAGATGGAACAGCTGTGAGCAAGGAGAGGAGAAAAAACGCTCGTCAGAGGGCACTGAAGGGAAGAGGAGAAAACGGCTGTGATCAAGGAGAAGTGACCCTTTTGAGAATTCTCAAAAGTCGCACCAATGATCAACGAGAAGTGGAAGTGATCCCCTGCCCAGCCCTATGAGCCCGTCACGAGCCTGATAGTACGTCCAAATGCACTCTACCTACCACCTGCACCGCACTGAACCACATCTCACCGCACTGAACTATATCATACCGTATGGGGAAGAACTCCTTGTAGGCCCCAACAGCAGTGAGCAGAGAGAGCGTTCCCCTGCCCAGTCCTATGAGACCGTCTAGGGCTCTGGTAGTACATCCAGCTGCACCGCACCTACCTGCACCGCATTAAACCATATTTCACGCCACTGAACCACATCTCACCATTCTGAACTAGAACGTACCGGATGGGGAAGAACTCCTTGTAAGCTCCGACAGCTGTGAGCAGAGAGAGCGACCCCCTGCCAATCCCTTCGAGCCCGTCTAGAGCTCTGGTAATAGGTTCAGCTGCACTACACCTACCTACCATCACCACAATGAACCACATGTCACCGCACTGAACCACAGCTCACCGAATGGGGAAGAACTCCTTGTAAGCTCCAACGGCTGTGAGCAGAGAGAGCGACCCCCTGCCCAGCCCTATGAGCCCGTCTAGCGCCTGGTAGTAGGTCCAGCCCAGGCCGTTGTAAAAGTTGCCCTGCTGCGAGTTCCCACAGCTGTTGATAGCAATGGGCCGAGAGGGGAGGAGAGGGATGGGGAGAGGTGGGGAGTGATGTGGGGAGGGGTAATGGTAGCCCTATGAGCCCGTCTAGCGCCTGGTAGTAGGTCCAGCCCAGGCCGTTGTAAAAGTTGCCCTGCTGCGAGTTCCCACAGCTGTCGCGATGGGCGGGTGGAGAGAGGTGGGGAGGGATGAGAGGGAGAGGTGGGGAAGGGGGCCGTGGGATAACGGCAGTCACATACGCCCTGCCATCTGTCCACAGGGAGACAGAGGCACTTGTAACGTAGGCACATGTTACTAAAGCGCACGCTACACAGGCACATGCTATGCATGCACATGTTACAGACACACTTACAAGAGGCATATATGACACAGGCCAGGCACATATAACACAGACACACATAACACAGTCACACATAACACACAGGCACACTTAACAGTCACATGTTACACAGTCACGTGTTACACAGTCACATGTTACACAGTCACATGTTACACAGTCACATGTTACACAGTCACATGTTACACAGTTACATGGTACACATGCACATACCCAAAAGTGATGGGAACTTTGAAGGCCCGAGCAGACCCTGAGATGGGCAGATGGATGACGTCACCAAGCAGGCGTCCTGACGTCCCACTCCCATCCCCATACGCCACCGAATACATACACCCCAAATCCTCCCCCGAACCTCCTGCCGAGCCTGCTGCCGAGCCTTTAGCCAGAGGCTTGGCGGTGACGTTGCAGTTGCGGATCTTGACGGTTCGGTCGGGGTTGATGCACGCTTTGTTGGAGCATTGAAGGAGCTTGACTGAGGATGACTTGGCAGAGTCGAAGGGCGGGTTGGTTTGCTGCCATACGGGGAGGGGAGAGGGTGAGGGAGGATTGAAGTGATGATGTGAGGTCAGGTCGGGGTTCATGCAGGCCGTGTTGGAGCACTGAAGGAGCTTGACTGAGGTTGACTTGGTGGAATCAAAGGGCGGATTGGTTTGCTGCCACACGGGGAGAAGGGACGGGAGTGAGGGAGGGAGGGGGAACAGGAGGTGAGGGAGGGGGAGGGAGGGAGGTAGCGGGGGGAAAGAGGGAAGGGGGAAAAGACGGAGAACGGGAAGGAGGGATGGGGAACAGGAGCGGAGGGACCGGGGAAAGGAGCGAGGGGGGGGGCTGGGGAAAGGAGAGCGGGCAAGGGAGTTTGAGTCAACCCAGAAGTCACAACGACCGGTCGACTCGCCAAGAGCAGACTCACCAGAGTCTTAGAGAGCGTGCAGGGGTTGCAGGGCAAGCAGTTGATCCAGAGCAGGTTGCTGCCCGTGTCTATGTCCAGGTTGAACGTCTGTGGCGGCGTGCCGATGCCCAGCTGCACGTAGTATATGCTGCGTGCGGGGCGGATGGGGAACCGGGTTGGGGGGCGGAAGAGAGGATGTGCAGGGAGAAGGGGGAGGGAGGGGGTAAGTAATCAAGCAGCTGAGCCAGAGCAGGTTGCTGCCCGTGCCTATGTCCAGGTTGAACGTCTGAGGCGGCGTGCCAATGCCGAGCTGCACGTAGTTTATTCTGGGCGCGGGGCGGATGTGGAGGGGTGGATTAATGGGGAGGATGAGGAATGAGAGTGGATCACAAGGGGGGAGGATGGGGAGTAAGGGTTGGGGAGACGGGAGGTAGTGGTGAGGACGGGCAGTAAGGGTGGGGAAGACGAGACGCAGAGGGGGTGATGGGGAGTGAGGTTGGGTTGAGAGAGGTGCATCAAATAGGCAGGCAGATGACCCAGGGCAGAAGACCCAGGGCAGATTGCTCCTTTGCGAAGATAGCTCGGTATAGTGGATACCGATTGAGTGACTTTTAAGGATGCTGTAAGGGTAAAGGGAAGTGCCTACCCGTTAGGGTAAGTGGCCCCCAGCAGCCCTGCCGTAGCCGTTATGCCCAATTTCCTCCCACGATGGTTACCACTAGGGTTACCATCATCAGCACCACCAGAACCAGCACCACCTACTCCTTCTCCTCCTTCTTCTCCTCCACTCATTTCACCCCCTCCTCCCTCCAACCGCCCTCCCGCCCCTGAACCATCAACATCCGTGACCTGTGTCGAGCCTTGTCACTCTCCACTAGCGACAAATAATGCTGCCCAAACGCGTGCCCAGCAGACGAGTTCTCCTGCGAGTTCCACGAAGCCGCAGAAGCCGCCGCTGACGTGGCAGGCCTGGCCACCGGAAGGGACGAGGTCGCGGGAGGTTCGGGGGGCGGACGGGAGTGGTCCGGCGGGGAAACGGAAGCGGCGGTGGTGGCGACGGAAGGACGAGCAGCTAATCGGCTGTTAATCCGCAAAACGTGGAGCCCGTGTACGCCGTCGATGAGATCAGCGAACGCATGCGGACCCTTCCGGCCGTCCGCCGCGCTTTTCTCGGCGGTTATGTCGGGGAATGGTCCAGCGGAGGCGCGGCGTTCAAAGCAATCCTCGGAGGTTCCTCCAACCATGCAGCTTGAAAGACCACCGAAATGCTCTTCAGTAGTACTACTATCCACGTTAGTGCCAGGCATGTTATACGGTTCGTGAACGGGCACTGGCGACGCCGTGGTGATCGTCATTGTGGGATATAACAAGCCTGTGGCTAGGAATGCGACGAATAAGCATGATGGGAGGTTCTGCGAGTGACAGAGAGAGTGACGTCTTCGCGATGGACTTGACGTGAGGGGTCTGGTAGACGGTCTTGAAAACATTATAGTAGACCGTTTTAAGGAGAGGATCGAGGTATTGTTGAACAAGTAGTGTATGCGACCTGCGCTGCCAGTTTCTGTTCTTCTCCCTTGTGTTTTGTTTGGGACCTCGGACGAGAGGAGGTAGACTGGCTTTCTGAAGCTACCACGATCAGCACACCTAGTAGTGGCACCCATTGCAAGACATTTCATCGAGAATCAGTCTCATTATAATATAAATAAAAGAACGAGTCAGCGTCACTGTCATGCCTTGGCCTACGAATACGCCAACGCTACCACCTTGGGTGGGGAAGGGCTACTGGAATATGTCGCATGAGGGGAGGTGCTAAGGACTCCCTCAACGGATATTAGACAGAACGACAAACGGATACTAGGTGACTGCGATATTATGCTAGGAAAGTGATAGTGAGACGGACCCCAGTTCCTACTCAATTCATACTTGTTTTCCCTCACCGTGGATCCAACAACTGAGCTTGATGATAGTCATCGTGAAATTGGCATTCCCAGTGCCGTGGCTCGCGCCGTGGTAGTTCCCATGCACCAAGATCCATTTTGATTCAGTTCGGTGGTTCTCCCTAGTGTCACCTGGGAGGAGAGTTGTTCGAATCCAGTTCCTCGTCCAATTGGAACGCCGATTGCAGAATGCCAGTCGCGACTCCACCCACCAGCATGTCAGAATGTCAGTACAATTTTAACCGCCATACAAAATGATTCGCTATCTTAGGGAAACTTGGCAAACATCGATTTCTATATAATACTTTTCCATCTGTTGAAGGCTATCGCTAACTAATTATAGATAAATATTATCTTACATTAAATCAATGAATTAAAAAAAAATATAATGACCCTTATGAAACGAAATCTATTATGCAAGGTTTTTGCATCATTTTCCAGGATATGCGAACCATACTATAGCTTTCCCGTAAAGCATTTATATAATGCATATACAGTTTTTAGTTCCCAACCAGAATGAATAAGACCTGCGATCATGATTGCCATGAAGTTTGACATCCATGACTTGTTGACTACCAATCAAAATGGCAGATAATAATATGTCATCCTGCCAGCGCACCTCGACGAATGGTCCTGCTAGTTTCTAGGGCAGCGTTTCATCCAATCGTAAATCAATATTCAACGCGCAATCTCACGTCCCTACCCAATCAAACACGTGCCAGAGCCTTCATCCGCGATTGCCCGTCTCCGCGGCTTCCAAAATCCTTGGGCTGCTGACGACCGTTGCTCACACGAGACGGGAAAACCAACAGATTTCAGGGGCTGCTGGTCCCACGTTTTCTTCATTTCCTACGTATTTTTTTAAGATTCAACACTGGAAAATCTGTCGGTTTGTTGTGGTGGCCTCCAATTCCGTAATTTCCAGTTTCAAACCAGATAAAACCAAGTTTCTCGGCTGCCCGTCGATTCCCCATCGTATCCTCTAGTGCGCGCTTCGCCAACTCCCAGCGTCAGATTTGTGCACCTACCTCGCCTCTCCCTCCCTCCATCCCATTTCCAGTGCTCCTTCCTCCCGTCTCCGAACTTGCTACGTTGGAATTGGGGGCTTATTTGTAGAGCTTTAGTTGGATGCACGTGATCCAGCACAGCAGCTGCTTGCAGGTTATTTCCTCCACCTCCATTTTCTCACAACCGTCTCGTTTCGCACCACAGGCACCACCGTCCAACTCAAGACGGATTATTAGCTTCTAAGTGGTTCGTCCACGTTAACACCTGTGTGCTGCCTTCTCACAGCCGTGTGTTACCACGCGCGTTGACCGTCCGCCGACTGAGGCGCGTTTAATAGCACGCGCCAAGCGTGTGGAGAGCGACAGCACCGCACCGCGCTACCCGAAGTTTCTCCCCCACACCTTCCTCATCCGGTCAGCAGTCTTTGGGTGAAGCGCACTTGAAGCAGAAGAAATAGTGCGTCTTCAAGAGCCAGTTCCACTATATAAGTTTACCACCATTTCGCTCCATTACCGTCGTTCCACAGCCGTGACGCCCTCACACTCGACTCGTATAAGTCACCTGGACACTTACTGGCCTCGTAACTGCATCAAATCCACCTGACGAATTTACAGCCACCGGGACGCCGAGCATCAGAAAACTCGCGCTCCCTTACCATCTCCACGCTTCTTGCCATCAGCCGCTCCTTCGTATCACGCTTCTTGCCATCCGCGCTTTGGATTCTGACCTCCGTCGCATAAATTCGTAAGTTTGGTATCTAACCATGGCGGCTACAGCAGCTGCAGGCTCCAAGCACCACCTCCTCCGCCCGCTACCCTCGCCCGCCGCGGCGGCTCGTCTAACTCCTGCGAGAATGGCAGTGACGCTGTCTGCGACGCGTGGCGCATCGAAGCTTCCCGCCGTCCGCGCAACTGCTGCGCCACCCGCGGGGAAGCAGCAGTCACCTGCAACGGCGGGGCCGGCGGCTCAGTCGCAGTTCAGCTCCGACCCAGCGACGATGTCCCACAGCACGCGCGGTAGCAAGGACTCCGCGATTCGCGCGGCGCCGTCATTATCCGTCATCGAGTGTGACGTCACTTCCCCCGACGTTAACGGAAACGGAGCCGCTAACGGAGCATCTGCCTCCGTGTATTCGTCGAAGCAACAGCTGGAGCTGGAGATCCTGCCTTCTTTCGTGCCGCAAGAGCTCACAGCCGCAGCAGACATCTCAGAAGCCTTTCTCTCTCCGGAATCCTCCGCACTTCTGTCGCTGCCGGTACTCGAACCCGCGACCTCTCCGCAACGGCAAGGGCCCGAAACGGAGGCGGCGGAGGAACGCGGTAACAACAGCAGCAGCGCTGAAGTTACGGATGATGCGGGAAAAGAAAACGAGGACGAATGCTGGCGCAGGCTGATGGCGCGGGTGTTAGAGGGCCCTACGACAGCAAGGGCCCTCGATGACCTTTGACTTGGCAGGTCGGCGCCTAACGACTGAGTCTACTCGGCACCGACGCACGAGTTCGGTGGCGGTCATTAGTGACTACGGGTGACTGTGAGCTACTGCAGCGAACTCGGCGGAATCGGTGCTAGGAATGACGAGTCTTGGGGGTCGTAGGTGCCTTGCTTGTGAGGCACGCTGCTCACTTGCTGTGTTGGCAGGAGTAGCGTGCACGGTGAGACATTCCGGTGCCGAGTTGGGTTGGAAATGTGCGGGGCGCGTTCACCCACCTGCACAGCACTTTCGTGTGGGTTGGGTTACTCGCAGCGCCACGCAACAATTGTGCAACTCTTGCTTGCCTATATATGTTTGTGTTTGCTTGTGTGTTTGATAATTGATATTGCAATTCTACTTGGCCCAAATGCTACTTCAATTCTCACAAAGTCCTTAGAGGCAAACGCTACCAAAACTCTACCAAGTTGCTGGCGCAACATCATTCCCATAGCAGAGACTCTCTCGCTATCGCTACGCTCTCTAATATATTCCTTCATGGTGCGGTGAGCGAGGAACGAACACGCATAGATTTCCGTCGTCGTTGATATTCGCGTTCGTATACTCGCCTTGGCGTGCGACGTTAGTGAAGGGCGCTTATTAATCTAAGTTGAACCTCTCTTGATTTCCCTCCAGTTACGTTCTTGGACCCAAGGATAGGGCGTTTGGTAATTTATTACCACTCGTCTGAGGACCCTTGTGAGGTGACCCCGAGACGAGGGATTTAAGGAAGGGGCACTTTATTTTAATTTGTGGTACCTTATAGAGACGTCGTAGAGGATGAGTACAGAGGAGGCGAACGTGGAGGCCGGTAATTTGCGCGCCCTAGAGGAGGATCTCGTGGCTCGTCATTCTCGTGGTGAGATTAGTGATATCGAATACGAGCTAATGTTGGAGGGATTGCGCTCGCGTCGGCGTCGTGAGCACCCTTCGCCACGTGTAGAGAATGTTGAGCAAGTTGCGGGAGGTACTAGTGCGTGGGATATGGCTGTCGATGGCGGAAATAGCGATGACGAGGAGTTTGATGGGTTGATGTCGCGTGGGGTCCTGCGAGGACCAACTCGGTTTAGTACGGCTAGCGTTGGCGGTGTACAGGAGCGTGTTCATCGTGCAGCAGCGTCACGAGAGCATGCGAATGTAGGACGGCGGAGCGTTGCTGGAGGAGGAATTGCGGAAGAGTTCGATAGTGAGGCTATGCCGGGCGTTACCCCGATTGGATCGATGTCGAGGGACGAGGGAATAGCCCCCAACTATGGCTACTTCAGATTCACTCCAGACAAGATCGTTGTCACTAGGCCGTTAGAAGGACGCCACGACCTGTCGACGTGGACAGAATCAATCGAGCCGCAGCTTGAGATCGCTCAGCTAAAGCGATTCATAGATGGCACCACCCCCATTCCACCAGCGCGTGCGCTTGCGCATCTCTCTCAGTTCCGCGCGATGCAGTTGCTGACATTCACCACCATTTCCCGATGCTGCTCCCCAACCGTACAGATCGCCCTTAAGGCGTGTCGCATGAAGGTCGATGCCGGCTATCAGGCATGGCAGTTTATTATGCGCACGTACATGGCGAAGGACGATCTGTACATCGGTCAGTTAGAGCAGGCGCTCACTAACCTCGAGATGGGAGAGCACGAGTCCGCTACGTCATATTGCAACCGTGCGCAGCAGATCCTAGTGAACCTGAGGATGGCCGGCGTAGATTACTCGCAGGCGTCGTACATCACTCACGTTGTGAAGGGGTTGCCGCTGCCATCCCCCCACGTACCCTTCCCATCAAGCGTCAGGCCAATGCGCTCCTTCACCCTGGACGCGCTTCGTGCCTTGGGTGCCGCCCATGGGCTACGCTTGTCCCGCGCGTCTCTGAAAAGCCCCAACTTTGGGAGCGCAATGT